CATCAAAGCAGTTTTCAAAATTGTATTGATGTAGACTTGCAAAACATTGAAAATCCTTTCTGAGGAAGCTGTAGTGCACATTCCTTTATGTTGGTACAGCAGATTCCTGGAAGGCTACAACATTTTTAAATAAAAAAGTGCGCTTAGTTGTCAGCCCTTCTGATACGTAGATAAAGATCAGTGATCTCAAAGGAGATTTGTAGCTCTTCAGGCTGAAGATAGAGACATGAAGTTATCAGTGTGCAGTTACATGCAGATGCTTCTGTCTGCATACGTTACTGGGCATGGTGCTCTTCTCATGAAACAGGCACACACTTTATAAGGATTTATGGCTTGAGGAACCATCATCTCACTTAAAATGAGCTGCAATATGTGAAATAGATTAAATATTAATATACTTAGGTTAAATATTCCTCTTTTAAGTACAGGTGATGTAATTTGAACAATGTGAGTGTTGCAACAAATGCTTTTTCTTATATACAAAACTATCCATTTTTTTCAGTCCAGATGAATAACCATGTTTATTCTTGCAAAGAGCTATTGCATTTTATTTCTCTTTTAAGTTCAGAACGTTTTGTTTGCCCATTCTTTGTGTTTTAGCAGTATTTAGATGTTGTATTCTCTCTAGTATGTTCTTTCTATTATTTCAGAACTTTATCAGAGAGTAGGAACTTGATTCAGGAATTAAAACATTGTTTTCCCTTTCCCTTTTCATTTGGATCTGGAGCAGGCACAGACACTCTTGGCTTTACTGCAGGGTAAACTGTAACTACATTGACATTCATAGAAATTGACGGGGAGACAGTAAGTTCAATAGAAGTGACAAACTGATGAGATCCACTTGTTTGAGATAAGTTTACTAGTCTTGTATCAGATATTAACCGGTTCTTCAAATGTAAGCAGATGTGCTTTCTGAAAGCAGAATTTTGATTTCCTGTTAAAGATATGGTTGTTTTCTTTCAAGGTTTTCCAAAGTGCTGATGCTGAGATTTGCAGTGAAGGATTCCTGTCTTTGGGCAGTAAGATGAAAACAAAACTGATGTGTATATCTGTTATTTTAGTGGTTCATGCAGTTTATTCTTGAAGGGACTCTGGTTGCCCTTGGAAGTTAGCCATCTGGTGCTGCTATCAGAGGAGGCTATTTTTTATGAAGCTGTTTCCTGTTTCAAAAGCTGCTGCCCTTAAACGTACTGATACTTTATCTCCTGCAGTGCTGAAAGAAGGCTCAGAAATGATCGCAAGTAGCTGTCTAGATTAGCTTGCTTTTGGAATATAGGAACATGGGTGTTTTGCTTCAAAATGTAGTATTGCAGAATATTTAGCCCACGTGCCTTTTGGCTTGCAGGAGGGCCTGCTTGACCTGCTTTCGATTTGCTTGCTGAAGACGTGTTTCATGACTTGATGCTGACAGACTTGAGCTGTTACTTTTCTGAAGTGAAAACTGATCTTCTGAGTATGAGTTGCTTTTTCTTTCTTTATGTTCTTGGTTAGTTCTTGATGCAGGAAAAGTAGTAGTTGTTCAGTATGAAGGATTTGTCCCCGCCTTTCAGGTTTGTTTAGTTCCATCCTCAGATATTAATGTGTTGCTGCGTTTATGGGCTGCTTGGCAGTAAGGAAGTAGAAGTCCTGGAGCACTTGTCCTGTGAAGACAGTCTAAGGGACCTGGGCTTGTTCAGTCTGGAGAAGACAAGGCTCCAGGGAGACCTAATTGTGACCTTCCAGTATTTAAAGGGAGATTATAAATAGGAGGGAAATCAACTTTTTATGCAGGTAGGTAGTGACAGGACAAGGGGGGGGGTGATTTTAAACTAAAAGAGAGGAGATTTAGTTTGCATGTTGGGGGGGGGGGGAAGTTTTTCATTCAGAGGTGATGAGTTGGTGACACAAGCTGCCAGGAGAGGCTGTGGATGCTCCATCCCTGCAGGTGTTTGAGGCTGGGTTGGGCCCTGGGCAGCCTGGTCTGGTGCTGATTGAGTGATTGGCAGCCCTGCCCACGGCTAGATGATCTTTGGGGTCTCTTTCCAACCAAAGCCATTCTGTGATTCTAAGTGGCATTGCAGCTCATCTCAACAGCTCCTCTAATTTTTTCCAGAGTGTCTTTTCACGAGAAGCAGCCTTTCTTCCAAGAATAGGACTGACATTCTTTTTACAGTTGTAGCAATCTGCCCATACCAATTATCATGTTCTTATTTTTCCTTTTTACTTTTTTTCTTCCCTCTTTTTTCTGCATTTTGTGGGATATTGATCTCCCTCTGAAGTAATTACTGTTAGCATTTGATCTGTCTCTTTTTGAAGTTTGCCAGCATATTTGCAGTGCCAGCATATGCATCCCAGTGGCTGCTTTTCCTTCTTTTTGCATTTGTTAAAAGTTTCCTCTTTGATTCCGGGAGAAGTTTTGTGACACAGATAAGATTTGTGGATGCTAATGAGCGCCATTACCCTGTGCTGCCTGCTGGTTGTTCTCATTCTGCAGTCTGACAGGGCTGTTCAGGAGCATCTGCTGTATGTGCGTGTGAAGGCTGTGCTGTGGCTGTCGGTAAAAGCATGCTGAGCTTTTAATGTGTGTAGGAAACAGCCATTAACCATTCAGGGTGCTGAAGAACAGATCCGAGCAGAATTTGGGGGGCCAGGGAAACAGGGCAGCTGGCACTGCAATTGGGCAAATTTGAAACTTTTGGCTTTGGAAACACAGAAGAATCATCTGTAGGATCATTTCAGGTGGGCTAGATCCTTTCACCCCCATTTCTATTTCAGTGGCGGATGCCCAAATTCCTGTGGGAACTGAGTTCAGACAGGTAGCCATTTGGCATTTTCTTCTTGGGGAAGCACTTGCTGGGGACTGCCTGGACACTTGTAGCTTTTTTTAAGAGTATAGAATATACAAAGGCAAATTTTCTCATGCTTGGAATGAACAGTGCTCTATGCTGTCCTGCACTGGATTTTCCTCCAGCTTCCTCCTGTGTTCCTAGACCTGTATAGCATAAATCATTTTTACAAGAGGGCTGTGAATTCCAGGCATTTGGATTGTCTTTTTCATATACCCTGTTCATAACTCTCGTTTAAAAAAAAAAAAAAAAAAAGACAGGAAGATTTATGAAGCAAACAGTTGGCTGTTCCTCTGTAGAGCTCAAAACAGCATTCCACAGCATGTTTTGAACCTTCACCCCATCCCTTGTGAGCCCCAGGCCTTGGATGGCAGTGTGAGGAGGGCTCACCTGGGGCTGTTCCTGGTGCCCCAAAACCTGCAGTTATGCTACGCTCAGCTGTTGCTGCAGTTTCTGACACCCTGCAGACGTGTTGGTTTGGAAACAGAGACTTCGAGTAACTGATCTCTGATGTCATGGTTTACAGATTGGTGCCCTCTGCTTCGTTACCAACTCTGCAGTTTGAGATCAGTGTAGCTTCACCTACAGAAAATGACGTTTATTTCAGCTGTACCTTCCCAGCCATGTCTTACTGTTTTTAATAAAACCCTTTTCTGGAGGGGGAGTGTGGGAGTTGGTGGATATTCTTTATTCCAGGTTGGTGAGAAGGAAATTAAGCAGCTTCGTTTAGTTTGGAAATGAAAAGCTGGAGTCTGGAAATTATTTATGAATGACTTTCAACTTAAAGATGGCCAAAGCCTTTCTGTGTGGAACAGCTCAAACTGCTTGCACACTGCTGGCTGAGACCCGCAGCCGGGCAGCTTCTGCTCGGCACCCTGTTCCTGGGGCTGCTTGCAACACAGCAGAGCTGTTGCTCTGTTGCTTTGTCAACACGCCTTATCCTGTTCCTCCTTCTGCAGTTACCAGACATCCTCGGGTACTTGTGGTCAGATTATTTCTTCACTATAAGCAAATGTGCTGGTATTGATCAGGGAAGCAGTTAAAGAAGAAAAAGTTCACTGTGCCAAAAACTGAGTGGCAACATTTCAAATTCTGTGTGGGAGCAGAAACAGGGCTTAGAGCTTGTTCAGCTGCGGGGAAATTATTGAAGGTTGGAGTCACCTGTGACAAAATGTCAAAGAAATGGCTTTTTGGTAAATCTGGAAAAATGCTGAGGCAGCGCATGAAAAAATTCCACCTCAAATAGTTGCTTACCATCTCACTGTAATAAAATGTGCACGTTACAGAATCACAGAATGGCCTGGGTTGAAAGGGGCCTCAAGGATCGTGAATTTCCAACCCCCCTGCCACATGCAGGGCCATCAACCTCTCCATTTTATACTAGACCAGGTTGCCCAGGGCCCCATCCAATCTGGCCTTGAACACCTCTAGAGATGGGGCATCCACAGCCTCTCTGGGCAGCATGTCACCTCAGTTCCCAGCAAACAAGGTGAGGTAGTGGAGCAGTGCAGCAAAAGAGTTAAGCTTTTGGAGTTGTCTGTCTGGTAGATGAATGCATTAAGGGCATGTTAAATTTTGCGGCCAGCTGTCTGCAGCACTTTGTAAGTGGCAAGGCTGGAGAGCAGTCTTACAAACCTTAATTTCCTTTCTTACTTCTCTGCTCTTGAAACTAACTGTGTGGAAACAAACTGAGATGCGAAAGTGTTGTGCAAGGTAACCTGCTGTCTGTGAATGCTCAGCCCTGTTAAATCCTGCTTGGTGGGTCTGTCACTCGCTGCACCCACATCTTTCAGCCCTCTGCAGTCAGCACCTGCAGAGTGAGCAGCAGCTGCGAGAGGGGCTGTGGGCAGGGGCCTCCTACCAAGAGTGCCTTTGTGTTGGCCCTGGGGGCACAGATTGGGCCTACTGTGCTAACATGGGCCCTGATGGAGGTTCTTGTTGAGGATGGTTTCCATGTTCAATCAATCTTCTATCTCACTGACTTAAAGTATGTGAAATGCCTGCATGTCTCATAGAGTTGAGGGGGGCATGCAGATGTTGCTGCAGTGGTGCAGAAAGTTCCTGGCACTATCCTACCACAGCTCCATTGCTACAGCTGAGAGCCCCCTGAGGGCTGGGGGGGATCCCAAGCCCTGGCACTGCCCCACGGCCCTCGTGTGGTTGGCATTGACTTGTCTAGAGGTGGCTCTTTCTGTCCTCTGCAAAGGTGAAACACTGGGTGCAAAACAGAAATTCTCCATGATGTTTTGGTTGCTTTTAGTACTCACTGTGCTTTGTTACAATACATAGGCTTCTGTGTTTGCTGTATTTTATTTGTATTTTCAGTAAAGCATACTGCAACTTCCGTTTCCCTGTGCCAGAGGGTCAGAGCTTAAAGAAGGGCTCAAAGTTTGTTACTACCTGGGTTAGGGAAATCTGGTTGCTTGTGTTGCTTGGTTTTAAAAAGAGGGAAAGAGATCACTTGATCAGTCAGCAAGACCACATGACAAGCAGCTGAATGTAATTAGGTGGGCAGGGAAGTGGTGCGGGCCACAGCTCTGCATGCCAGTGCCAGTTTTAGAGCTATTCTTCTAAGCTACGCTGTTTTGGTTTTATTTTCTTGGTCTGTTGATATTATTTGCAGATGATTAATGCCTCTTTCTGCATGACTATGGTATTCAAGAGATCTGGGCTGGATCAGGAAGCTCTGTGCTGAGGTACCCCTGGAGAGCTACAGGTCCACTTGCAGCTGTTAAGCATAGGTATGTATGTATTTCCTCTTTTATTTAGCTCACTAAGATTGACTGCAGTATTTTTCTGAGCTGACAGTTGTCCTATACCAACTGTTACTGTGTTAAGAACTTTGAAACAATGTTTTTGACACATGCTGTGATGGTGTTGATTTGAGATAACTGATTTGGCATAGTGGAGTCTGGGGGGAAAAGAAAACTTAAAATTGTAGAGTATGCTGATTTGTGTAAAACATAGCTGCAGTTTTGCCATTTAAAACCAAAGCCTCTCCAGTACATCTTGTCTTTTTGCTACCTGGTTGTGGCAATTGGCACGTATTTGGGGCGTGGGTCCTTCTCACTGAAGTTAATTGGAAAGATTGGGGCAGCGATGGTAGTAACAGTGGCAGAGGACTCAAACCAGGGTACAGGGAGAGGAGAGCATTCCCACCAGGATGGTATCAAAGCTTAAAAGCAAAAGAAACAAAACAAAAATCAACACAGATTACGATGTTTTTAATTTTCTTGTTAGACAACTGACGTGCTGCCTGTAGTTCGTAGCTGTGTTAGTTTGGGCTCACTGAGTTGGATTTCATCCTTTAGTAGGATCACTGGAAATAAATCAGTCTGAGGTAGAGACTAAAACTGGCTATGCTTATCAATAAGATTAAAATGACTGCAGTGACCAGTGTCAGGATTCGGTAACAAAAGGTGCCGTTTCTGATCCCAGGCAGTCAGCCTGCGTTTCCCACTCCATTGTGCCAAACAGGGCAGAATTAGACCTTTGATGATAAGGTATGTTGTGCAAATAACATCTCGTGATACAAACAATATAACTCAGTATTTATAAGTGTTGTTCTGCTCGAACCCCACCCCCGCTTATATTTATTCCCATGTTCTCATTAACTTAATTTATACTTAATAAAATGGTCCTTTAGCATGGTGGATTTTTAACTGAGTTGTGCACCACTGTATTTGTTCTCAGGTATAATATATGTGTTGATAATAAAAGGAATAAAAAAGTATGCTGCATAGACTGGCATTTTTAATTAATGAAATAAAATGGACCGCAAGGAAACATGAGAGCTTATCTAGTTTGTAGTCCTTTCAGTCAGATAGTAAATGGCTTCAGTCTTAATTACGTTAAAGACACTGTGGGATGGGATAATATTACTGTGTTTTGCTTCTGTGCCCCTGTGATTTGGTCGTTCCTTGCCACCCCGAGCATGTGTTTGTAATCAGATGTCCTTTCTAGCCTGGCTGTCAGTGTTTTTCTAATTGTGGACTGAAATTCCAGTTTTTGCAGACTGTGACTAACCATGGAGGAGCTGTTCAGAGAACAGACAACAGTAGTTTCCTTCATGTCTGTGGGAAGGTCACAAGATTTTTCCAAGGTTGTAATTGATGTCTAGCACAATCTATCTTAAGATGATTTTTCTAGTCCAAATCATCGGCCCTTGACTTGTATTTATATGAGAAAAGTGACGAATTCATCAGTGCAGCTACACAAATAAGCTTTCTTGCTATTTCCATATAGGCATCTACATGGATGTAGCAACTGGAAAAGCTTATATAAAATAATAGGGGAATGCTTTTACATATATATACAAATAATACAGAATGCTTTTCTGTAAGCACTGATGCTGACTTTGTGTTATTTATTTCTATGCTGAACTGGAAAGGAATCTTTGTTCCAGTTGCCTCATTGTAGTGTGTTGTTGAATAATACTTTTCATTTATTGCATTATAACTGCATTTTGAATATTTTGTCTTATAGAAACACAGAAATTGCTGTAAGGAGTTAGTCTCATAGTGTCAATTGTTTGAGAATTAAATTTTGATATTGAGGTTCTTTATATGGAGCAAAGCAATATTCTAAGTGCGTGGTGCTGCCTCCTTCCTTCCCCATCCTTCCCATGGCTTTGGAAATGGCACAGCACTACTTTAAGCAAAGAAACTGAGTAACCTTAAGCCAGGTGAAGACAAACTTGGAATCTAAGTCAATTGGATTTTTAAAGGAATGGCATCAAAGACAAAGTGTAGGTATTTTTTTCCTTTTTTCAAAATTTTTTAAAAAGACCAACAGAAGTTTTAGAACTATAGAAAATGTAATGAATTCAAATTTTATAAGCTGTTCATGGAAAATAGCGAGGAACATGTCTTGGTGGGATGAGGGAAATAAACTCCTGTCAAAGGGAAGCTGAAGTAACTTTATAAGGAGAAAAACTTAGGGTAACACTTTGTTGGTTTAGTATGTTTGGCTTTGTAAATGGGAAATAATACAGCTCCTGCTTCTGAATTGTGTTTGAACACTGTTGTAGGAATAAAGTTTCTGTATAAAAATTCAGCTTTAATACATAATGCTGCAGCTGTCAGCATAAATAGAAGCAGTACTGGGATCTTTGTGACAGGGAAATTGTGGGGAGTGAGTAGGTTGCTCCACTGCAGTCAGTGGGGCTGCTCTGAGTAATGCTGAGATGTTCTTTTTCACTTCATAGAATTTGTTTTTACTGGAATCTCACTAGTGATTATTTTTTTTCTGTCTATGGGAAATAGAAGTAATTTAAAGTCAAACCAAATACCTCAAACGGAAGCTGATGTTTTAATAGAAGATGAAAGTGCAGTGCCTAGTTTAATGAGTGTTTTCAAATAAAAGTCTCTTTGGACAGTGTGTTGCATACAGCCAGTTTCTTGTGACTTGTGGGTTCTCCAAATAATGTAGGACATAAAAAAAAAAAAAAAAAAAAAGTTATCAATCACTACATGAGGTGTCAGTTTGCTTCTGATATTCTGAGTCTTTGGAAGCATGCAAAGTTCTATGATTACTGTTCAGTCAAGAAAGCACAGTTTGAATCCAGTGTGATATGGTAACTACATTTGGGATTCCTTGATGCAGTCTTCTGCAGGGAGCTTACACTGCTTGGATCAATCAGAGCAGTCTAACTGGCAATTCATTTTCTTAGAATAACTTCATATACTTTTTCCTGGAGCTCTGGTAATAGAGATGGCTGTTGTGTAAGCTCACAGTTGCTAAGCTGTATATTGGCAGAAACATTCTGAATAGAAATTTAAGTTGAAAAGTTATGGGAGTAGAGGTAGGAAAATGCTTGCTATCATATGTCAAACCTCTGTTAAAGTGAAACTTGGGATCACTATGTCTACATGAAGCTGTAGAGAAAAATTTTGTAGGAGGGTATTTGCAGCATGACAAATGCAGCAGCTACCAGCTCTCAGCTCAGCATCTGTCTGCTGGCCTTCTCTTAGCCTGAGATTAACTGACACGATGAGCAAGGACACACGGTGGCAATGGGCTTGTGATTCCTTTTGCTTTCCTTGCAGGGCTTATGTATATCTCCATGACAAGTATTAGTGTGAGAAATCATGGTTCGCTGTGCTGCTTATCTGAGCAGCGTTTGCTGTATATCATGGCTTAACTATAATTCACACTGTAATTTAAGATTCTGATCAGAGGAGCAAGATAAATTGCTGAATTGGCAACTCAGGTTGAAAAAACAACCAGCTTTTTGAGTAGAAGCTTTGTGTTGTGCAGTTCAGCCCACTTAACTGGTGCTGCTTTTGAATGATCCTTTCCCTCGTGCTCTAGAATACAAATAGAGCAAACATTTTGCCAAAGCACTGTCTGAATATTTCGGCACATTGCACAGCCTCAGTAGAGAGCTTGGACAGCCTTAATATGTGCTACAGTTTTGCTCAAGAGGAAGATGTGATGACTTATTGAAAGAGTAGGCTTATTTTTCAATTCTTGCAAAAACAAACAAACAAACAAACAAAAAAACAAAACAAACAAAAAACCCACCAAAAAACCCTGTATTACTACCTGTAGTTTTTGCTCTTTGTTCGAAGATTTTGTGTGATACCTTTGAGCCACAAGTGTGGCCCAGCTGACACAAATCTGCTGCTTTGCTGTCCTGTGTTAGTAGCTTCCTGAAGAGAACAGGTAGTGCCTGTTGAATTATGTTTGGGTCTATTTGAAGCAGAAGTGGTCTTTTATTATGCTAAGGACAAGTTAAATTATGCCTTGAGTTTTCTCAGCAAGTTATTTCTAGCACATATACTCATTGCATCCAGAGATGTAATCTAAACTAAGAAATCCTGCTCGCTACTGACTGAAAATATCTCTTTGAGACTGTAGCTGTTACAGACTCTGAAATCAGAGACTCAGACCCTTCTTAGTCCTGCTAAGAGCTGATTACTGATCGGTCTCTCTATCTCTTTTAAGTGTCACCTGCCAGCCTGCAGTGCTTTGGCTGCCTCCTCACTGCAGCGTTTGCCAGTGTGGGGTATGCAGTGAGCCTTGGTACTGCAGGAATACCTCTGTCAAGGTTTTGTGGTTTTTAAACTTTTAGCTGAGCCTCAGTTTTGTCAATCTAGACATTTCCTCCCCTATCTGCACGCACCAGCTCTCTGTAAAGCTTCTCTCACTGTCTCTTGTATTTCAAGTCTGATCACATCTGATCCTAGATTAAGGGATAGAAGGAATAAGTCTTTCTAGTTCGTAAACAGTGTTTCCCAAGCAGCAGTTTCCCTATTTTTTCCCACAGGTAATTAACAACTTACTTAGCCTTTTTTTCCCCCCTGCTTCTGATTGCAATTTCCAAGTATTCTTGGAACTCCCAAGTATTCCTAATGTCATGCACAAAAAAGAAAGCAGGAAGTGCTTTAAACTGTGTTTCTTTGTTATATATTGTTGAACTGAGTAAAGTAACTTACACTGAAAGTAAGAACAGATCTCAGTGCTTTAGAAAAGCAGTACTGCTAAAGAAAGAAAGGTGGCAGGAAAAAGGTTTTGTTTCATCTTTCAGTCAAAAACTGGTAAGAAACAGAGATAATTTCATATGAAAAAAGAGGGGCGAATGTTTCCCAACCCAAAGGATGAGAAAGGTGGATTAAGTTCTGCTCTGACTTTCCTGCCCCACCTGTTCTGTTTGCTTGCTTACGCCTTGTCAGGTGAATGAGGCAGTTTTATGGTCTCATTTGTATCATATTTGAGTGAATTTTCCCCTTATTTAACA